ATTTAGGTAGTTCATAATATAATATTCTTTTCTTTTTAAAGATTATTTCAGATTTAACATGACTAAAGGTGTAAAGAGCTCTCAGATTGAGAAGCTGGGCATTAGCAATGCAGCGACATCGTTTGAAAAGCAAAAACACTAAAATGCACACGCAGATGTATAGGATACAAAACGTTTCCATTGGACTCGGCGTCGATTGGCCTTTTGTTAAAATATGAGGTCTGTCCAGAGAAAGTCCAGCCATGGTTAATAGAACAAGAATGGTTTGTATGACATCAATGTCACCTGGCAGCCAAGGAGAGTGGACTGGAATGCACGTGCGTGAACAATGACGACTTCACTGTACTAGTCAGTGGGGTCAGTAGATGCCACTGAGTGAGCATGTGTGCCATGTGGCTGTTGCACTCAAAACAACTGAGCAAGCAGAACAACGAATCTGCATCAAATTTTGCGTTAAGCTTGAACATTCCTCCACAGAACTATTTTGATGATTCAGAAAGCCACAATGATGGGCAACTGGTGATTGGCAGCTTCATCATGACAATGCACCCACTCATGCATCATGTCTCATGCATAGGCTTTGGTAAAACATCAAATCACCCAGGTGACTCAGCCTCCCTACATCCCAGATTTGGTGCCCTGCCATCTCTGGCTTTTCCCAAAACTAAAATCACATTTGAAAGGGAAGAGATTTCAGACCATCAGTGAGATTCAGGAAAATACAATGGGGCAGTTAATGATGATTGGGAGAACTGTGTGAGGTCCCAAGGTGCCTACTTTGAAGGGGACTGAGGCATCATTGTCCTATGTATAATATTTCTTGTATCCTATGTTCTCTCCAATAAATGTGTCTACTTTTCATAGTACCTGGCTGGATAGTTTCTGAACAGGCCTCGTACAGTACATATAGACCTGCTCCATACTTCAGGTTGTATATGGATAACATGAGAAAGAGCCAGAGAACACCATGGACATGATTAGAAACTGGTGATATCCTGGGAGGAGTTATTTTTTGCTTTTTCCCCTTTGGCCATTTTCCAGCCGTGCAAGGACTTGAGCTCTGGTGAAGTGAGTTAGTTGACAGTGACAGACAGGATAAGGACACGGAGTCCCTGGCAGAGGTGGCAGAGGGCCTTTGTAATGTATTCATGTCAACATAACTAAACTGGGTAATCTGGAAGACCCCATTATCGCCGAGGAGAGGGGCGCATGCACAGCATGCCCCATCCGAGTTTCAGGATTTGAAGCACATTAAGTCAGCTGTATTTAAAACAATATACAATGCAACAGTTTTTAAACATGCGATCGCACGAGACAGATACCAAACCCTCTGTAACTACAAAGGGCATTTTCATAACATTCTAATCCAAAGAGAGTATTTGAAATCTGCTTTGTCAATTGCTTCTTTATGAAAATGGAATAGTGGCAGAAACTTTGAATTTGGCATGCACAGTAGTTTCTGTTTGCATTACACACATACCTGATAATGCATATTATATAAGCACGTGGTGAATATGGAAATAAGTTTCTTAATTTTTCCACGATGATACTAGAAAGGAAAAATCTATACACCATAACCACCTTCTTTCTTCTAGATGTTGGATACTTGCAAAATTGTTAACATCCATTTGTAACCTAAGATTTAATGGCTCCAAAGGCATCATTTCAGTGTGTAATATGCAGGCATTAAAAAATAATTTTCAAGATGCATCAGTAGTAATTGTTTTATGCCATCAATCAGAGCTTACGTGTTACTTTTTCTAATGCCCTGACACACAAAACAATGTTTTAAATGTTTGTGAAGATATGTGTGTATTTTTTCAAACTTGTCTAATGTAGACTTTTATTTGTGCAAAGAATAGTATGTCAGGTAAGAAGGTAAAGCTCCAAACCCCCCAGTGCCAATAGCTTCCCGTGTTACTCGAGGTCACCGCCCACCCACCCTCATCACATCTCCCGCCTCCACACCTGCCGCCTTTCCTGCCTCACCCCCAGGCCCCCCCCCTCGGCCTGGATGATACCAGGAATGTTCCAGAGTGGGAGTATTCACACCTGCATTCCCTCTACCTGGAATCCTTTTCTCCACTCACATGGCTTGCTGGATAATGACCTTATTTATTTAAATGGGACATTTCTTCTGTATTTAAAAATGCAGTCCGCATACACATGGTCTGCTGTTCCTTTCCCTGATTTAGTTGTTCTCCTCGCCATTATCACTTGCTAATATATATATATACACACACACACACACACACACACACACACACATATATACACACACGCACACAGAACTTTAGTTTTTTGCTTGTTATGTTTTGTCCCCCTAGAATGCAAGAAGGTAAGCTGCAAAATTTAGGAATGCTTTTTCTCTCTTGTTTCCCCAGTGCCGAGGGCCCCGTCTGTCTTGGAGCAGGGACCCAGCAGGGGACGAATGAGGGGGCTGTGAGACAAACGCAGTAATCCCCCAACAGCAAGGGTTGGAGCTGTGTGGGTTCCTTTACACCTGGAGTTTTCCCAGCAGATGCTAGAACTGCATTTTCTCTCGTGTGTGATTCGTAATAACCCTTGCTTTTCTCTCGCTTCCTTTCTTGTTAAGAATACTGTCTAGAATACATGTAACATACACAATAGGTGTTCGGCAAATGTTCTGTGTTGCCAGGGAGACTTCTGGTCCACAGTAGGCTGTTAGTAGTTAAGTCTGGGGGGTGTCGAAGTTAGACACAGGTTCGTGACTGTGCAGGGGTCAACACCCCTGACCCCCGTGCTGGCCAAGGGCCAGACCTGTAAAGGGGTGGCCCTCGAAAGTGTGTGTGGTGAGGTCATGGGGGCAGAGTTTTGGGGCCAAGAAGTCACTAAGACCAAAATATTAGAAACTCATCAATGTTCACAAATCAGTTAATGTCTTTACAGTTATTGACAGAGAACGTAAATGGATGGCCGTTTTTGTTTTATTTGCTCAATTACTGTTTCCTTTTATGAACATTATTTTGTATATATTAAAACAGGGGCTCATTCTCCTTTAAAGAAGGGTCAGATTAGAATGCTAGTCCATCATGAGTTAAAGAAAGAGAGTTTTGAAATAGTGCTCCACAGCAAGGTTACTGGTAAGGATTTAAAAAAAAAAAAAGAAGTAGAAGTTGAGACTTGGAGGATTCAATGCCAAAGGCTTGTTGTAACAGAAAAGAGATACAATTAACCTAATTTAACGAGTGGGTCTTTAATGAGGTGATGGTAAATCTGCGGGCCTGAATACAAATGACTACCAGTTTGTTTTCCGAACCGTGTCAGAAAGCGACAGAACGACGAAAGTGTGTTACAGCTTCTTGGCTGAAGCAGGGGAGCCAAAGGAAGGCCGTGCTGATCAGGCCAGGCACGAAACTGGAAAAGGAATTATCCTACAGAACATGCGTTAGCATGGGAGCACTGTGACAGAACTGGTTGTGACTGGTTTTAACTGGAAAAGGTTACAGAGGCAGGTGGTCACAGGTAAAGGGACAGTACTGCTCAGCGGAATCTAAGAGGAGGCTTGTCAAGAGTCTGCCAGAAGTTCCTATATCAAGGCCCTGGCTGGCGTAGCTCAGTGGATTGAGTGCAGGCTGAGAACCAAAGTGTCGCAGGTTCAATTCCCAATCAGGGCACATGCCTGGGTTGCTGGCCACAGCCCCCAGCAACCACACATTGATGTTTCTCTCTCTCTCTTTCTCCCTCCCTTTCCTCTCTAAAAATAAATAAAATCTTTAAAAAAATAAGTTCCTATATCAAGTATTTGTATTCTGTTTATTTTTTGTCAATTCATTCTATTCAACTAATTTTTGAGGGTCTCGTACGTACTAATAATCACTGTACGTTCTAAACACTGTACGTACAGCATGGAAAACAATCCCTGCTTTCTTTCCTTCAAATGTGGGGAGACAGACACGAAACACTAACTAAACGATGCACTAAGAGGTAAATGCTACGGAGAGAAACCGCAGGACAGGGAGGCGGAGAGCAGCTGGCACGTGGGCCGGGCTGGGAGCGAGGGAAAGGTTGACTGATTGGAGCGAAGATGAGATAGAGGAAGGTCTTGAGGATGTCGAGGATGGACCTAGCGCTGAGGCTCCAGGAGGGGCCGGCCTCACATGTTTGAGGAAGGAGTGCACCGAGGTCAGTGAGGCTGCAGCCGAGGGAGGCAGAGGGAGTTGAGCAGGACGGGAGGGAGGCGCCACAGGAGGGGTCAGAGCATGGAGGGCCTGCAGCTATTGTCACCCCTAGACTTGCACTCTGAGCGAAACCGGGTGCCTGAGAGGGCTTTGAGCAGAGTATCAGAATCACGGCCCCAGAGCGATGCTTCCAGTTCAGACATGTGCAAGATTTTCCTTTGGCCACATCAATCTTACACCTGCCTCCCCTTTTCACCCACTGACTTTTCCAGCGCCCAGAACACCGAGATAATTATTTGCGGGCCTTATCTCGCCTGCACGGAGCGTTTCAGTGATGGAGAAAGCAGTGTCTCTTTTCGCGGGAAAGGTCAGGTTGAAATGAACGCTTGTTGACGGCATGCGGACGCATACCCCAATTAGAGCAAACAGCACGCACGGACGTCCAGAGGCTGAGAGAGCAAAGTTAGCTTCGGAAGGAGCAAAATGCAGTTCTACCCAAGGAGTGATGGGTCCCAGGGTCTGGAGGAACCGGAACACAGTAGGGCTTACTTCCCATGCCAGTGACGTTAGAGCATCAGGCAAACACTCAGGCCGTGCATTTATATTTCCAGGACGTAGCGTGTGTTTTTTTTTCATAAAAGAAGACTCCTTTTCTCTTTGTCTCTGTAAGCAGAACTTAGGTGTGAGTCAAGGGTAGTGGTCACTTTAAGAATCAGTACCCTTAACTCTCTTCTGCATCAGTGCAAGAGAAAAAAAAACAAAACACCAGTGAACGGGTAGCTCAATTATCTTCTGGCACTGGGGGAAGAAGCATTTGCATACTAACGGGCTGCCATTGTGGCTTTTTTCTCCCTGCAGAGGACAAAGTGTGGACCATCGTGTCTCATGACCTGCAGATGCAGACCACGGTGCCGGGCCACAGCCCCGAAAAGTACTCGGTGACGCAGCTGGCGTACAGCGCCTCCATGGACCAGATCAGCGCCATCACCAGCAGCGCCGAGTACTGCGAGCAGTACGTCTCCTACTTCTGCAAGATGTCCAGGTTGCTGAACACCCCAGGTAGGTGAGACCACCACGCGCCTTTTAATTACTGTCTCAGCTGGTGCTTGGAGTGGCTGTGGCCGTCCAACAGGTGTGGCTCATTAGCACGGCGTCCAGTCTGGAGGGCGCAGGCAGCGGCGAAAAAGTTAAACAGAATTATTGGCTTGTTTTCTGGGAAGGCAGCTAAGGAAGTATGATTTTTAAAAAAAAAAATAATCTCCATTGTTTTAAACTTAGAGATTTTCGATTTTATGCACAGGTAGACAGATGTATGGTGTGTGAGTGGAACTGCTTTGGGTAAAAGTTTACGAGACTCCTTGGGAACTTTCAAGCCATTCGGTCCGGGACCTCCGAGTCCTTGGTGTACACGTGAAAGCGTGCTGCAGGCGTGCTGCTGGTGAGCATGCGGGGTAGCGGCGGCACCGGGAGCCCCTTGGCATCTGTGGTCATTGAACAGCACCTGTGCGTCTCAAGAAATCCGCTGTTAGCTTTGCTTCTGGGTGTGTGTGTGTGTGTCTGTGTGAGAGAGAGAGAGAGAGGGAGAGTGTGTGTGTGTTAAGGGTAGAGCAAAGAGATATTCTGGAAATATCTTTGCCCCAAGAGCCACCTGTTCTGGGCCGGAAAACTCAGTGTCCCAGTCCGTGGCACAGCGGGGAACAGAGGTTGCGCTTGGAGTCAGACAAAGAGTTACTCAGGCTCCCCGCTCCCCAGCGGTGGGACTTCAGGGGAGTTCATTGAACTCGCGCGTCAGCATTCAGCATCTTTTCAGTCGAGTAGGAATCAGAACGCCTCTTTCAGGGTGGTTATGAGAATTGAAACAGGTGATATTTGCATGCTCATTGCGGGGCTTGGCGCACTGAAGGGCTTAATAAATCACACATAGTGTATTGATTATTTTTTTTAATATTAAGCAACTTTGGAAGTGGCATTATGTCAGAGATCAGTGGACTGTTTGATGGTCAAAATCACGTTGTATCGGAGCCGGTGCTGTAGCTTACCGAGAAGAGTTATAAGCAACACCGTTCATGATACAATGAAGACTTGAGTGTTGTTTGTGTACAAAGCCTTGTGCCAAGATTACAGACTCATTTAACCTACGGGCTCCAAGAAAGCAAACTCTGTAAACGACGAAAATGATCAGTTCGGGCGATTAGAGATGCTGCTATTTGGAGAAAGAGGCACATGCGGCTGGGAGGTGGAAGGGTTTCCTTGTTAAAGAGGCAGGGAGGCTCGAGGTGGGAGAAGGAGGGAGAGCGGACGTCCGGAAGGCAGAGCACCGGTGGCCCTGCAGGCCACGGCGGGACAGCATTCCGCAGAAGCGGAGCTCGTGTCGAAGCGCAGTCGCGAGCAGGTGGCAGGGCAAAATCGGAGGGCGGCGAGTGCCCTGCTGCAGAGCCGGGGCTCCCTCCTGAAGAAGGCCCAGGCGTCCTGGGCTTCCACGGGCATTGGCGTAACCTGGGGAGATGAGTGAAACCAAGTGCTGGGTCCCGCCCCCGAGTTTCTCCAGTTCCGTGGGCTGGAGCTGCGGCGTGTGGGTTTGCATTTGTCACGCGTGCGAGGAGATGCATTGTGTGCCCCCCAAATTCATACAGTGAGGCCCTGACTCCCAATGTGGCTGTATTAGCGACAGGGCTTTCAGGAGATCCTTACACATGAGGTCATGAGTCTGGGTTCCTCATGGGATTGGATGGGGAGGCCTTATAGAAAGGGGACAAGAGAGTTTTCTCTCTGTCCACCCTGTGCGGACACAGTGAGAAGGCCAGGAAGAGAGCTCTCGTTAGAAACCAAACGGGCAGCACCTTGATCTTGGACTTCCAGCCCGCAGATCTGTTAGAAAATAAATGACTGTTATTTTAAGCCAGAGCCCACAGTGTTTTGTTTTGGCAGAACAAGCAGACTGATACACTGAGTTCCCAAGGGATGCCGATGTTCCTGGAGTAGCGACTACTTTTTGAGGAGCACGGCTGTGGGCAGTGGGAAACCTTTCAGGTCCCCATGGCCGACTGTCTTCCCAGTTACCCTCCCTTACCCAAGCCGTTTTGACTGGTGTCTGTTTCCAGCACTCGGAAAAGTCAACCGAGGACTGTAAAACTCCAGGGCACTTGGCAGAAGGAATGAATCTCATCAGCCTGTCCGCACTCAGTTTCGTGAGTGAGGGCCTTTGATGGAGGTTCATCCCAAGATTGCTGTCACTTTGCCTCCAACTCTGGGGAGAGGAGGAAGATAAGGGGAAATTGCTGACCAGAAAAATAGCCTGATACCATCTGCTTTATTTTCTCCCATTCTTCTACTAAACTCCCAAGTCAGCCCTCACTTTTCCAGTTTTGGTCTGGTGGTTAAAAAGCACAAGGCAGCTTTCAAACAGGTTTAACGTACAGTCAGGCACCTGGAGAAGGAGGTTGGAGGTAAGAAAAGCAATTTGCTTTTAGTGCTTTGGTGTTGAAGTCCGTAACTCTCTTCCCTCGTTGAGACCCTCTGTCCCTGCCCGCAGCCACCCAGCAGCCTCATACACTATTGCCTCCTTTTCAAAAGCTTCAAAACCCGGCATTCCCAAACCCCAGAAGAGCAAGGTACATTTCTTTTTAAACAATGCTTCACATACATTCCTAATAATAAGCTAAACACAACTTAAGCTTCAAGACACACCTTTTCAGGGAAAGAACTACTATGTTGAAACTAAGAGTGAATTGTTCATCTGCACGATAAACACTATTTGCTTTGTGTTCCCAGACATTCAGATACGTGTCTCTAGATAGTTGAAGATGACTGTTATCCTTGATAAATTTACCTCGACAATCAGTTTATCATATGCTTCTTGCCTTTTTGGACACGGGTGTTTCACTCACATGGCATTGGTACCTAATAAATAGTGATTGGAATGAAATGAAAAATAGATGGTTTTAAGTAGGACCTCATCAGAGCTTCAGGCAGTGGCTTTTCCACGAGCATGGACGCCACGTGAGTGTTTTCAGGAGGCTTGTCAGATGCTCCTCGCCAGAACTCTTGAGTGGAGAGAACTGAGTCGGGGCCCCGGAGCGCCTGCGTTCATCCACCACCCTGGGTAGTCCCCTGAGCGCCCTGACTGACGAGCTCCGCCTCTCGCTTCTGGCCTGAAGCTTCCTCTCGTTCCGATTGCTGGGTGTCAGTCCTCCGTGTGGGGGAAGGTTACAAGGAATGTTAGAAACTTATCCAACCAATTGAAATAAAATGGCTTACGTAATTCGGCTAACATAAATAGACATAGTAGTATTTTTTAAATCTTTGTCATAGACCAATCCCTAAGTAATGTCCGGTGGATTTCAGCCTGTCCTTCCGGGTCATGTTTCACACTCCAGACGTTTCTGCTCCAGGCTAACCGGTCTGCAGAACAGCCGAGGCAAGGGCAAGGACTGGGTGCTACCGCGGGTTTTCCCGTGTTACTACATTCTGTCCGTGTCCAAATAAGAAAGAACACAATTTAATAAAAAAAAATTTATTTACTATTTTAGGAAGCTGATGTTGTAATTGTATTTTTCCCCCCTTCTTGGTAACATTGAATTTTAAATATCCATTTACTCATTCTTAACTAAGACTGAATTATATTGGAACTTCTGTAGTAGTACTTGTGACATCTGTTTGAATACAAAGTATATTCATTATAGTCATGGCAATTAAAACAAATATCAAATGAGTTTGTAATAGCTGTGCACTTAAAATGTTGTTCTTTTTTTTTAAAGAGTCTTACCCAAAGACTTCATTTGGGACTCTGTAGCTTCTAATGATACTTATAATAAAGAGTTGATTCTTTATGCATATAGACCTTATTTTTTATTTTGATAGATGTTTGGTAGTACCATCTCATTAACTAACAAATGTACAATTACTCAATATTGGTTTCTAACAATTTTTACTAAAAAATTGTTAGAAAGTAATATGACTTATAATGTTATCTCTTCTTTCTATTACTACAAAGTTTAAAAACAAAATCTATTTTTAAGATAATGATTTTGCCATTCTTTATGGTCATCTCTATTCTTGCAATGTGGTTATTAATTCAGTTTTCTTAGTCAACTTTATAAAACACATAGAAACAATTCAGAGTTATTTTATTTCATAGAAGAACCTGTTTGGAATGAAGCATACCAATTTGGGAATGAAGAAATTATTTCTACCCAGAGAAAACCATTAATGGCTATCTGAACCCCCCCAAATTTACCATGTTATATTTATATCCCCAGAACTGCAAATGTAATAATATCTGAACTGATGAGAGGCAAGAATCATTAAACAATAAAATCTACTTCTGAAATAAATACCCAAGAATTTCGATTAGATAAATCAGACACCAAGAGAAAGTTTCATTAGATCCCACTTGGGAGAAGTCTCAGTCAATAATTCTAATGCTTTCAGATGGCCAGAATATTCCTCTGTATCTCAGCAAGACCCCCAGCCCGCCCTGAAAGTGCTTCCGTGTGTCCCTTCAGAGGCCCCGCAGTCGTGTATTTATTTCACAGATCATTACTGCTTAAGAATCTTCTGCTGAAGTACTTGTTCCCTACATATATAAAGATTTATTTAATTGTGGCAGCATAAAGTTTATCTTTTCTGTTTTCTGATGATACTTACCGTTGTTTTCATTATTTTTCAGTGTTTCATTTCTTTTAATTTCTCAGTGCAGTCTAGTTCTCATAAGTCATAGTTTTATTGCTTCTTTTGTTGAAAGAAGCAATGTAAATTACCCATCCTTTGGGGTAGTTTACTATTAGATTTTTGTATCTGTTGAAAAAGAGTTATGTTCACAATTTCTGCCTGTAAAGTAAGCTGTGTAAAATTCAATATACTTTCATGATAATAAACTTTGATTTAGAGGCATCCAAAAGACAAGAAAACATGACTCTGGCATTATAATTTATAACTCCTTTGTAGAAAAAAATTTCTAAACTTTGGTAAAGTGAATTTTCCAAGTTTGTGCTATGCATTATAAGAAACCATGGTATTTAACTTTGGAAATGGCATAGATAAAAACATAGCCTGAATGC